CTGACCGACAGACAGACTCAGAAAAGACTGTGGAGTGGGCAGAAAATCAACATCGCCTTAAACGATCATCAGAATCTTCATTTAAGGCATGAAACTGACATTTACAATAAAGTGATGATTTTTATGTTTATACCTTTGTATATCTACAAGCACTGTATCCTGATACTAAAACCTATTCCCACATAAATGTAGTATATTTTAAACAACACGAGTCTGTCCGTATATATATATATATATATATATATATATATATATGTGTGTGTGTGTGTGTGTGTATATATATATATATATATATATATGTAGATATATGTATGTATGTATATATATATAACCTATTGATGCACATTTATATATATGTATATCAATACGTGTTTATATATGTGTGTGAGTGTGTGTGTGTTTTGGGGAGAGAGATGTGCTTCCTAATAGTAACGAATCCCTTAGATTTGAACAGATTTGAAAGAAGCACACACACAAACACACACACACACACACACGCATACACATATCTTCAACTTCTCATCTCTTTTTGGCCAGCTAGAATCAAATGAAACTGATTATTATAGATTAAAATAATTAACTTTTACTTTTGAATTATTTAGAGATTGGAAATTAGAAATATTCCAGCCAATTCCATCAGAACTGCTGGATTGGGTTCTACAAAAAATGTTATTTCACTTAAATTTCACTTAATTTTCAAATCAGTGCTTCAAAATGATTTCGTTGAATTCAAATCAAATTCTCAAATGTTTCAAGCATCACAGCTACTGGTAGAAAGAATGTTAAAATAAAAGATCTATTAACTTTCAATTTACTCCCAAGAATTTCAGCGTTAATAATAATAATAATAATAAATGTAAATCTCAAAAATGTGGCACATGGGAACATCAACAATCCCTGTTGTAGGTGGAGTCCTAGGATTGGTTGGAAAAGAGTCCAATAGACTAATTGAAGGGATTTCTGGAAGTCCATGCCTCAAAGAGATACAAAAATTATTCTCACAAGTACAGCCCACACTTTACGAAAGGCTTTTTTATGTAATATATATATATAAAATATATATATATATATATATATATATATATATATATATATATATATATATATATATATATTGTCATGATGCCATTTCTTACCTTAGGTCTCTGGGCGGGACCCGGAAAGAAATGTGTCCATGCCAGAAATCAAAGGAAATAATAATAATAATAATAATAATAATAATAATAATAATAATAATAATGGGATTACCCCATCTTTACAGACCTGAAGATTGAAGTAAAAAGACCGGAGATAATTTTCGAAAACCCAAAAGAAAAATCTTGCCTACTAATTGACATGGCTTGCCCAGCGGATTGTAACATAGCAAGCAAGGAATTAAAAAAAATCTATCGAAGTATAAAGACCTGGAAATCGATATAGAATTTTTTTAAATTGAAAGCAAGAATAGTACCTTTCATTGTAGGCGCGCTCGGAATGATAAAAAAGGAACACAACGACATATTGACAATAATCCCTGGAAATGCCAGCTTAAGAGAAATACAAAAATTGTCTTCATAAATACAGCCCACAGTAAGAAGAACTTTGTCCATGTAACGCCAGTGATATTATGGAAGTTGGAAGAACAAATCATGAAATATAGCCGTAACAACACACCATTACCTGCCTTAGGTCTTCCCACAGACTTGGTAGGTAGGGTGACCATAGCAGAAATTAAAATATAATAATAATAATAATAATAATAATAATAATAATAATAATGACGATAATTTCAAAAGACTATCAAAATGCAAGCATCTTGAATTGGAAATCTAAAAAATGTGGCACATGCGATTATCAGTAATTCCAGTTGTAGTTGGATCCCTCGGCTTGATTGGAAAATGTTACGATAGACTCCTTGAAGAGATCCTTGCTAGCCTATACCTTAAAAAATACAAAAATTGTAGTCACAAGTACAGCTTACACATTACGAAGGGTTTTAAAATCTATGGAAAAGGTGTTAAGTATAAAATATCGTGAAGCCATTTCTGACCTTAGATGCCTGTTTAGAAACCGGAAGGAAATTTGTATACAACAGAAATTAAAGGAAATAATAATAATAATAATAATAATAATAATAATAATAATAATAATAATAATAATAAGTTATCAAAATACAAGGACCTTGAAATCGAAATCTCAAAAATGTGGCACATGGGAACTTCAACAAACTGTTGTAGTTGGAGCCCTCGGGTTGGTTGGAAAAGATTCCAGTAGACTCATTGAAGGAATTCCTGGAAGCCCATGCCTTAAAGAAATACAAAAAAAATTGTTCTCACGAGTACAACCCACACCTTACAAAGGGCTTTATCTATGTAAAATATTTTTGTGTTTTTTTTTGTTTGTTTTTTTTAATTGGTCAGTAGAAAATATCATGATGCCATTCCTAACCTTAGGTCTCTGTACGGTACCCGAACAGAAATGTGTACACACCAGAAATCAAAGGAATAATAATAATAATAATAATAATAATAATAATAATAATAATAATCCAATTCAAACTGACAGGGAAATAAAGGCCAAAGCCCCGATATCATCATAAAAGACGAGAAATTCGGGAAGTGTATACTTATTGACATAGCAGTACCACCTGAGAGAAACACCCCGATGAAAATTATCGAGAAATTGTCCAAATATATGGACCTGGAAATCGAGATTAACAGGATGTGGCGAATGAAGACTGAGACTGTATCAATAGTAATCGAAGCTCTGGGCCACGTGAGAAAAGGAATGAACAATTTTACCCGGGTAACATCAAAATACAAGTTGCCCAGAAGATCGCCCTACTAGGAACATCCCATATGCTAAGGAAAGTGCTATCAATTTAATGATAATTCTCCTATAGGGCCTAAGGACCATAGTTTGGACCCGGCTCTACAAGATACAAAGCAGAAAACATAACATACACAAATAATAATAATAATAATAATAATAATAATAATAATAATAATAATAAATGTCTTGATACTGTATTGGACATATCTATCATAGTTTCGAATCTTAATTCATTGGAGGTATTCACATTTACATGTTTTGTCTTGTTGAATCAAAGTTCGTTGCTAAGATGCGAATTGGATCTAACAAAATCAAGCAAGTACAATAATTTAAATAACCGGGAAGAATTTTTAACTGACGACGAAAAATGTGCCCCGAAATCCGAAGGCACATTGAAAGAGCGAAAACCCAAAGCAAAGTAGGAAGAATTTAATTAGAAACAAACAAAAGAGATTACATAACAAACTGTCATGTAATAACAATTCCCTTAGGGGGTCAGTGAATGCTGGAAAATCTCACTACAGCTGAAGGAGATACCTGAGGGAGAAGAAATGAGGTTCTACAGAAGGATGCTGAGAATACCATGGATTGAACATGTGAGTAACGAAGAAGTTTTAAGTGAAATGAAAACAAGAAGGACGCTTATACTTGGAATTAAAAAAAAAGAGACAGGTCACATTTCTGGGACGCATGATGATGAAAGAAGGCTTGGAAAACATGACACTCACAGGACATTGAAGGCAAATAGCGAGTAACCTACCGGACAAGCTCGTGTAAAGAGATGGCAGAAATAGTAGTGGGAAGGATAGTGAAAAGTCAAAGAGCTACAAAAGATAAGAAGCTGTGAAGAGCCATGATCGCCTACTACCTGAAGACACACGGCACATAGAAGAAGCAGAATTAAAGTAGGCAACAGTAAATATCCCGTTGCCTGATCATGGGCATGTCCACAAAGAGCTGGCGGATCTCTGGGGGTAGTGGGTGAATCTCATGGCCAGGTGCTGAAAGAGTTGGGTCTCATTTTAACTCGGAAGGATGAGGCAGCCAACGCAACGTCTAAATACTTGAGAAAATCATCAGTTAGAGACCGTGTAAGTAGACTAGGTTAACCGACTTGAAGATATTTCTAAATTTGGCTGTGATGAATGTGCGTGTTATACACTTATCGGACGGGTTGTTCTGAAGGAAATATCGAGCTTCGTGTATTTGGACCCCAGCGTTACTTTGTTGGTGTACTGCTCTCTCTCTCTCTCTCTCTCTCTCTCTCTCTCTCTCTCTCTCTCTCTCTCTCTCTCTCTCTCTCAATAACAACTACAACAACAATAATGATAATAATAATTAATAATGATGAAAAAGTGCTGGAGATCTGAATAAAGTTGCTGTCAGTCGATTTTTAACAACCACAAGATATTTAGTGTGAATTCTCACACTAGGATTTTTGTAGTTGTTGGAAACTATGAAATAATAGCAACAACAACAATAACAATAATAATGAAGAAGAAGAAGAAGAAGAAGAAGAAGAAGAAGAAGAAGAAGAAGAAGAAACAACAACAACAACTGAATTTGTACGTTGTTGTTTTTTTCCAGGGCTGAAAAGAAGTGTAACTAACACACCGTGCCAATGAAAGGTGTTTCAAAAAAAGATACAACCAATGTGCGTACTATTACATAAACTATAAAATTAAAGCTTTGACATGAAAGGTACAATTATGATAAATTTGATGATAATAAAAATCACGAATTCTAAAAATAGCTAAACAAAAAATTGAATTAAATTAAAATAAACTAGTAATAAAAATGCAAGAATCCTAAGGTGAATACTTTTTTTGTGTCACTTAAAATGAATTACCTGCGAATTCTGGAGGGAAGTTATTGATAATAAAACGACGAAAACGATTACATTATGAAATAAAAACTACTTAAAGGGAAAAAAAGAAAGAAAAATGTCCTCCTTGCTGTTGATTTAAACGAAAAATATTAAATGTATCTATTTATTGAATGATACTTTTAAATTTATTACTACTTCATTATTATTATTATTATTATTAATAATAATAATAATAATAATAATAATAATAATAATAATATAGAATAAGTTGCTTTTTGGGTTTTGAAGCTTTTAAAGAAAGACGTGTCAATTCAAAATACTGTAAACATCTTACCGTTCGTCCTGTGTGAGTAAAAATGTGATGTCGCTAGATTTTGATGATGACAATATCAGGTAAAGCTTCCTTTGAAATAGTCAGTTTTTCCTTTTTTTTTTTTTTAAATTTTTCTTGTAGCAATCTACGAAGCGCTTTACTTGACTCTGTTTTGATTTCTTTAGTAAACGTGTTTCCCTTTGTTTAATTACGCAGATAACATATCCGCTATTTTTTTTAAACTTTAAAATATTTTTTTTGTTTTGAAAGTTTTATTTTTTCGACCGTTTTCTGCTTCTTTTTTCATTTAATAGTCCATTTATATATAATTTCGTGTTTTTTTTTATCTGGTTTTCCTCTATTGTACGCAGCCGTTCTTTCTTCTTCTTTTTCTTCTTCTTCTTTTTCTTCTTCTTCTTCTTTTCTTCTTCTTCTTCTTCTTCTTCTTGTTCTTCTTCTTCTTCTCCACCTCCTTCTTCTTCTTCTTCTTCTTTGAATATTTAAGTTCTTTTGCTTATCCGAAAATGTTTGCGTCTTTTCTCTTTAGCCGCTAAGAAGGCGACTAAACGCCGTAAACACAGATGCCAGTCCAGTCTTCTTCAGTCGGGGGCCTTCCTCACTGACCGATGTGTTCGCCTCCCACTAGGAGGCGGAGACCGACATCTTTATTTCTTTCCTTCTTTCTTTCTTTCTCTCTTTTTTTTTTTTTTTTTTTTTCTGTGCGCGTGTGTGCGATTTCTGAGGTCCGTTTGCACGTGTGGGGTCTGCTCGTGCCAATCTATGCGAGCATAGCCGTAAAAAATCTAAATGCTCGCGCGATGAAAGCGTTATGGTTAACAAGCTCGTCTCATAAACCATTTCAATATTCCCTGGCTATTCCCTCCTAAACTAAACTCTTCTCTCTCTCTCTCTCTCTCTCTCTCTCTCTCTCTCTGGGCGTGCGGGTATGTGCGTGATACTACTGAGATTTTGTATGAATGCGGGTGTGTACGTTAATTCAAATTATGCATGGGTGTGTTTTCTAATATTAGAAAAGTCGAGTAGAGGGACAGGTGAGATGGCGAGAAGATTGTATTGCGCCACTCGTTCATCCGAAAGATGTTCCGCACAAAAACATTCGAAATACCGGTTTTTAGCAAAACTTGAATACATACGCACATATAGACACACACACCCATATACAGAAAACACGAATATAGTCATAGAACCATATAAGCACACATGCATATATATGTATATAAGCAAGTGTAAATGGATATAAATCCGACAGAATGAAGAAATTTTGAAAAAACAAACAAAAATCCTTAAATGTAGTTAAATGAAAGAAATGTCGACGTCTGACGATTCGGTTTTAAAACCTTTTCAAGATCTATTCATCAAAATACAATTCAGTTCAATATGACCAAATACGATGGACATAAAACACCATTGTCTTTTCAGAATACTGTCTTGAAAACTTTAAAAAACCGGAATCGTCAGACGTCGATACTTTTCATTTACCATGTTACATTTAAGGATTTTTCCACATCATTTGTTTTTTCAAATTTTTTATATATATATATATATATACACACACACACACACACACACACACACACACACACACATATATATATATATATATATATATATATATATATATTGACCACTAATATTATCTATTTTTCTATCTATCTATCTATCTATCTATGTTTCAGTGAAAATGACAGACAAGGTACTGAAATTAAACTTTTATTATATTTTTACTATTTTTACTTTTATTTAAAAAAATATTCAAAAAGAATTATAAAAATATTAAAGTTTATTAAAATCAAAGTTTAATCGTTGTTTCTTGTTTACCATTGTCATTGGAACTTGTATAAAAGATATATTATCACCCAAATACACAATTATATAAATATATATATCTTTCTTTCGCTCAGACAGATACACATACACGCACATGTATTAGTGTCTCTCTCTCTCTCTCTCTCTCTCTCTCTCTCTCTGTATATATATATATATATATATATATATATATATATATATATATATATATAAGATGTCAATTAGAAAAGATCAACTCAATCCATAAGACTTTTGGCACGTGAGAATGGTGATTCAGCTATGACAGTCCAAAAGAGCAGTGAAAAAAACTCGAAATGAAATTGTACGTGAAACCTATGAAACAGCTTGTTGGCTGGCTCTCTAGGTTTAACTATATATATATATATATATATATATATATATATATATATATATATATATATATATAGTTAATTCTCCTGACGATCCCGCTTAGGTGAAACCTTGGTAGGTTTGTCTGGCTCTCTAGGTTTAACTAGGTTTGCTCTCTCTACTCACTGTATTGAGCACTTTATTTAGTTATTTTGCTTACTCGTATCCGGGTTTTTTTTTCTTTGGGCTTTGGACATGGATGCTAGACGATTATTTTCGGCTGACGTACATGTTCTTGGTTCTTTCTTTTTTTATACCTTTTTTGTACCTTTGGTATTGGTTTGATTATTCGCAAATCAAGACACCGAAGGTTTTCCGGACGAGTACAATTTCTTATACTTATATATATATATATTTCTAAGAGGATAGAATCCAGGTAGAGCTCAATGTCCAGGACAGAATAGGAATATAATATAAAAGGCTCATACACTAATATTCCATATATTATAATTTATTACATTGGAATCGTAATCAAGATCTAATCCAATTCTTCAGACCTACAAATTCAAAAAGAAATCGGAAAATATGGATCGTGATTACGATTCCAATGTAATAAATTATGACCATAGAATATTAGTGTTTGAGCCTTTTATATTATAGATAGTTAAAATCATTTTGTGTCAGTCCCAGTATATCTTTCCAACAGGGAAATGGTGAAAGGAAAAAGATCATGCAGGCCTTCACTAATGGTACCTACATTCCTACTAAGGCTTCCAATTTCAAAGTTCATTCAAGAACCATCAAGAGAACGGTGAATAAGTTTAAAAAAGAGGGAACAGTAGAGAGGGGAAACTGGATCAGGAGGTCACAACAGGAAGAGGGATCATCATTTCAACTTAGAGCTGAAGAGATCAATTAGAAAAGATCCAACTCAATCTATAAGACGTTTGGCACGTCAGAAAGGAGATTCATCTATGACAGTCCAAAGAGCAGTGAAAAAAGACATAAAATTGAAATTGTACGTGAAACCTGTGAAGCATCTTGAATAAGGTAGAAAATAATCCTGAAATAATATATATATATATATATATATATATATATATATATAAACTTTTTTTCAATCCTTCATGAGCTTCCGATCCTTAGCTATGATTAATTAATGACGAACATGTCATTTTCGTTTATGATCAATTTCATTACGATTCTTCTGTTAAGAGTCCAAGAGTGCTATAAAAACCTCAGAAATTCCAGTAAGAAATCTTTAATTATTTCTAAGATACAACGGTACAGAGCTTTAGCCAACAATTGTACAATTCTGCTGTTACACCGTATATATATCAGAAAATATTATATTTCATATATATATATATATATATATATATATATATATATATATATATATATATATATATATATATATATATATATACATACATACAGGTTTATAGGTATACAAGTATAAATATGAGATAAGGAACAAGTAGAAAAACGTTTATAAATTTGACAGGTTTCTCTTTTATTTAAGATACATCAGAAAAAATCCTGTTTTTTTTTTTTTTTCCTGTCAATCTGTCGGATTCTAATCGATATCTCATCTATATTCCATTCTACTCCCTTTAGTTGATCCAGTTGGTATGACGCTTGCGTCGTGTTGTAACTATCCGGGTTCGATTCTTGGTAGTAGGTGCGTACTGCTGATGAGTGCTAAACATAGGTCGAAACGACTCTCCACTGCTTTCTTGCATTATGTCAAGGATTCATCTTTCTTTCTTTTTTTTTTATTTATATTTTATTTATTTATTTATATATATACATATGTGTGCGTGTGTGTGTGTGTGTGAAAAGGATTAAATCCTGCATATTGTTATTTGTCTTACAAGATTTCAAGAATATTCGAGCCAGTTTGATGTAGCTGGATAAATGTACAAACAATTAAAATTTAACAGGGGTGGTGGTGAAAATAGCAAGTTCCATAAGAGTATATTCTTTTTTCCCTTTTTATACTCTTGTGGAACTTACTATTTTCACCCCCCACCACCGTTAAATTTTAATTGTTTGTAATTAAAGTTTATCTTTTTTAATTGCGTTCTAATTTCCCTCCTCATTTATCATATTGAGTGTGTCTTCGTTTGTTTTCCAACTTACCAACGTATACCTTTGAAAAAGCGTTGGTCGAAAGGTACCTAAGGTATAGCATGACGTCAGTTTTGTTTAAATCAGTGTTTTATTTCTGTGCGTACAAATCACTTTTTTTGTGTGTATATATATATATATATATATATATATATATATATATATATATAAATTTTATATATATATATAAATTACCTGCTCAAAATTTCTAGGTGCATGTAACTTGGCTTTTTTAATAGTTAAACGACGTTACGCATTTTAAAGTATTTTGTTATTTTCTCTTCAGTTTTCCAAGCATTAACCACATTTTTATTCTTCACATCTATTTTTAATTTACAAGAAGACGTAAGTATTTTATACCTATTAATGAAATTGATGTTATAATTTGAGTGTGATCGAACGCTTTTTTGTAATATTGGAATATATCAATTTTCTCCACAAATTATAACAATGATTTAAAATCAATCATTTTCTTAATTGTGTAACACGGAGCAAGGCGTAGATAATTCGACCAGGTACATAATAAAACTCTGTGTACCGCCTCGGACTTTCTAAAAACAACCTCCAAAAATACAAATTTAGTATTAGGTTGGTGCAAAAATAATGACGTAATAATGTCGTTTTTTATTATTAAAAAATACGTCAAAAACGACATTATTACGTCATTATTTTTGCACCAACCTAATATTTTAAATGATTTTATTGTGAGGAGTGCGAATGATATGAGGCCTTGTTTTTGATTTTGTTATTTTATCTTAAAGTGATAATTATGTGCAATATTTTTAAATCAGTTCACCCCAAGCGAGACGGGGATGCCACTATTAGACAGGTGTGTACAGAGAGTGAAAGTAAGAGAAAAAAACTAAGTCTAAGGAGGACTGAGGAAAGGATAAGAAGATAGAAGATGGCGATTGACGTTGCATTTAAATTTTTGAAGATTATAGTTTTCAGGGAAGCAAGTAAAAAAGAAAGGAGTTCCACAGGCGGGAAGTACGAGAAAAACTTTTAGAGTAGAAGTAGCGGTTACATTTAACTATTTCAACAGTAAACGGGTGGGACCTAGACGTTGATCTAGTAGCACGCTTAAATTCAGGCAGCCGGGGCACCAAATGAAATAAAATAGGAACAGTTTTTGTTGTGCAGGCAATTTTTGATTAAGCGTACAATTGCTTATATAATTCATTCATATTGTTCACAGAAGCCCACACGCAAAAGCACACAACATGCACACATAGTGACCAAATACAGTGATCAAACCACACACATGCATGCACGCACGCTCACATGCGGGTGTTTGTGGGGCACGGATATATATATATATATATATATATATATATTGACAAAAGCAGGAGAACTACTCACAGGCACGCACACAAACCCCACACAACTTAGGAAGTATGCGTGTATGTGTTCATATATATGTATGTATGTATGTGTCTGTATGTATGTATACTGATTCCATGTAACTTGGGAAGTATGTGTATGTAGGTATGTGTGTATGTGTGTGTGTGTGTGTGTGTGTGTGTGTGTGTGTGTGTGTGTGTGTGTGTGTACTGATTGCTTGTAATGGTACGATATATGTGTGTGTGTTTGTGTATGTGTGTGTGTATGTGTGTGTGGGTGTACAGATGTGTTCACTGATTCCTCGTAGTGAGACAGTGTCTATGTATGGAGAGGGGATATACACATATATGCATGCTGACAAA